AACAACATTCGCAAATGAGGGCTTTTGTATATCAAAACAGATTAGCCCTCGACTACTTATTAGCCGAGGAAGGAGGAGTGTGTGGTAAGTACAATGAATCAGAATGTTGTATGGAAATAGATGACTATGGGAAGACAATAAGGGGACTAGCCGCTGAAATAAAGAAAGTAGCACATGTGCCAGTCCAAAAGTGGAATTCTATTCTACAAGCCTCTTGGTGGGACCAAATATTTGGAGAGGGAGCTTGGTGGAAAAAGTTGGTGTTCTTTATAACTTGCTCAATTGCAGGAATCATTTTTCTCCTGTGCCTGATTCCCTGTTTCATCAGGTTAATACATTCCGTTGTTCAGGGAATGCAGATCGCTGCCCTCCCCACTGATCCAGAAAATGCCCAAGGGAAGCCTACTCCTTTCTATCAAATATCTAAACTAATGAAGTTAGAAGAAAAAGGAGAAAACGAGAAGGCAGTTGAAGCCTTAAAGAAATTTGAAGAAAATTACTCTTTTCAAGGGTACTGTGGGGATTCTCTAAAAGATTGGGAGGAGGACGAATATTGTTAAAAGTCCCCGGTCCTCCCCATTGAGAATAAATGAGATAACACGAATTTTTAATGTGATAAATTATTAGGCGGGGGACTGTGATAAATATAGCATTGGATAAAAATTCGTGAAGGAGAATAAAGAATTATATGTTATATTTGTAATACTGTAAAGATACAAAATGTAACATTTCAAGTGCCTTAAGAGACTAGTAAAAAGCTAGTAAAAAGCCCTAAAGCCTAGTTTGAAATTCAGCAGTGCTACACTTTACAGAACTTAGGTCTAGACATAATGAAAACATAGCTTGCATTTCCAGATAGAGCAAATAGTATTATTCACTTACACAGATAATGCTCTATATGTAAATTTTAGGTAAAACTGATGCTACTTTTGTATATTAAGAATTAAGCTTAGATTGATGTAGAAAAAATGTTTTAGAATCATCTTTTCAGTTGATTGGATGATTTATGAATATAATCCCCTGTACTGAGGTGAAAGAGGAATCACACAGAAAGAAGAAACTGCCACAACTGCTTCTGCACCCAAACCATCGTGACTTCATGCCAGGAAACTGCTCAGAATATCAGGACTTATGCCAGAAAGCTTTTAGCACGGACTTTAATACTCTGAACTCTTTGCCTTCCAGGCTGATGGATTCATACAATAAACAACTTTACAGCAACCAACAACTGCTCATGTCTCTTTGAGACCCAAGACCCCCTACGAAAAACTCCACACAAAGCCGTGTCTTTTGATATTTTTGTAGAAATTGTTTTCTCCAACAGTTAACTGTAACATACACAAAGAAAATATAGCAAGAAATTGACTTGCCATTTTCTTAAAAAAAAATTTAGAATGATGATCTAACACACACAAACCATCCAAATGTTTAAAACAAAAGAGAAGAGCATTGAAAATTATTATTTTGGAAGGAAAATCTACTAATGGGTAATGTTATTTAAGGCTAGGCTACTGTACTGCTGTTACAGATCTATTTAGTCAGCACTTACTGAGACATGAGTGTCAGGCCAGGGAATACATCTTGTATACTTCTGCTGAATTGAAACCCCAACCATCATCAGGGTGCTAAACAGTATTGTTTTTTACCTTTTTTCTTTATATATTGTCTGTATTCTATGCACATATATTTGTAGCTTTGTAGCTTCTTATTGTAGCTTAGCTTCAGCATTTTCCTAGGCAGGAAGACAAAAAAAATTCTAGAACCCCTATGCTATCTTGGTTCTCCTTAGAAACCAAGGTTGAAACCAGCTTTTCAAGACACATTTTTGTAAACAGGGCCTGGTCCCCACTGCAGGTGGGGAGAATTTAGAAGGTACTAGAACTGTGGGGATTACTCCACCAGGCATGTTGCTAAGTGCAGGGCTCTTGTCAGATATGCCAATTTGCAAAATGTGTAAAAATTGTACATATGTCACACGGGGTATGCATCTTCCACCTAACACGTATTTTCCACCTAACAAGCTGTGCACCTGAGGATCCTTATATACAAGTACCCCTTTTTATCACCCTGTGTCTGGCTCATATTTTTATGATCACAGATAATTGCATCAATGGTACAACCACATGCTTGACACAGTCCCAGGACTGAGGGCCCAATGCAGCTGCCACTGCTTGGCAGTGCACAGAGAAGTAACCAGACACACTGTGCTCCTTCCTGTGCAATAGATACTGCAAAGTAAAAGTGAGTAATATGTGAGTGGCCAACAGTTCAAGGATGCATCTCCCAGCCCAGCAACAGGCTCCTGCACATAGGGTTATTCTTTAAATGCATGAGGTTAAAATTGACATCCTGCACTTCAGTACTACATACATCACCCCACTGACCCACCAAGATCACCAAAGAGCAAGTTAAAAAAAAAATACTGAGGCAAAAAACTAAAAGAATTAAAAGTTTACTAGAACAATTCAGGAAACTGAAAGCTTTGATTAACTTTGATAACAGATCATCTATAAGTGATCAAATCAAAATGTAGAGGAACTTTTCACTACACTTTTCTTATTCCTGGATTTTACAAACTTTCCTCTTCCTCCAGATAGTTTATTGAATTTTAAAAATTCCATATAGGTATTAACTAATACACACTTGAATTATGAACTAATAGCTGAAGATGATTTTTCAGTGCACAGAGTAAGTGGAGATGTTGGTATCTCAGAGCTATTCTAAGCTAACCTACATAATTCCTGGGTGATCTTTGCCCCATTTCCCAAAAGTTAAAAAGCCTGCAAGTTTATCTTCTAATAAAATTTGTTAACTATCTTTTGATTTGTTGTTTACTTCTTCTCAATGTTTTGAACAACTGTACTTTCTGTCACACTGTATCCACAGGATGATGTTATTTACATTCATTTTTTAGTTTCTTTTTGTCACTGATTTTGTGGCACTGTTTTGCTGGATTTTAGCATCTGCACCATCCCAGTGCTTGGAACGATGTTGATAAGAAAAGACCAGCACACTTGCATATGTAATACACTATTATGACACATTTGGGTACAAAGGCATGCAAAATTCAGCATGAACATGAAGAGGTCTACCTGTACTCCTGTCACGTGGCAAGCTGAATGCAGAAACTTTCCCTCTTCCCATACACAATAAGAACTGATAGGCACTTGTAGCACCTAACTAAATGAAAGGCATAGGCCAGGCCTGAAAACTGCAGGATTGTGGAGAATTTGCCTAAGTTTTTCAGCTTAAAACCAGATACCCAGATTTGAAAATATTAATGTGACTTTCGATAAGAGACTTGAAATATCACAGCTCAAGTCAGATTCAGCCTTGCTACATTATTGTATTTTTTAAATGCAAATTTAAGCAGTGGGTTTTTTTATTTTATAGATATACTTGCTTTTCACAAAAAGGGAATAATTAAAATTTTATATGAAGGAACCATCTTTTATGAAAAATGGAATTTAGTATCTATGACCTCTATATAGGTTATGCTTACATGACAAGAAAAACGAGGCTTGATGTACAAGCCCCATGCAAATAAGGCCATCATACATCATACTTGAGTACATTAGGAATGATCAGGCTTATTTTTAAGTGGACTTTTGGAACAGCGATTTTGGAGCTCTCAGTCATCCAGGGAATATTTGCCACCATCATAATAGAACTACCCATCTTTTTAGAAGGTATCACATCAAACTGCACAGTACACAGATTCTAATATTTCCAGCTTAAATCTACAGCAGCTGTATTTGTCAAGAGTAACCATCAAGCTGTGAATAGTCTTATTTTTATAAGCATAACAGATTTAACTTTTGTTGTCTTTAATTAATCCCAGATATAAAAAGCTCCTTAAGTACCTCTTATTTACCGTGACTTACCTCACATCTGTTTACTAAGTGAAAAACACAATAAAAATATAAATTGTGCTTAAAATGGTTTGCAGTTGAGAAAGTGTATGGCAATAAACTAATTTGAGAAGCCAAATGTATGCAGGTTTAAAACAACTGCTCTTCCATAATGAGAAATAGAGAACTTTCTGTCCAAGTTGCTAATGGAGACCATTTAAAATAGTCCTTTCTTACAGTTACAGCACTGTACTTAGCTCTTTTAATTTCCCACAGGATGAATATTGACTGAGTAATTACAGCTACAATCTCTTTAGTCTCTTTACAAAAGTCTTCTGCAGAATTATGTCATTAAGACAGAACTTACTATATGTAAGATGGCTATAATTCAATTGTGCTTAATGGCTCCGACCTACTCAATGTTACCGATTTTCCTTTGTATTTGGAATTTGATGAATATTTTGTCATAGAAGTTTATCAAACAGATGACAAACAGAACATAAAATCTTCATTTATCTATATATAAAGGAACTGACTTAATGGTATAACCACAGGAAACATCCAGATACCTATGAAGAATCAAAAACCTTTTAGAGAAAAACCCTGTTTTTAAATTTAAATTCTATGTCTTAAGCACTGTAAAAAAGTGTATTTTTAATATATGTATCTGAAGCATATTTACTCCTCACTGCCCCCCCTCCAAATAAATGAGCCAATTTTATACATATTTACAGTATTTAATAAAGATGTCCAAACCAGTGGAAGTTTTTACATAAATGTTTCAGCACTTAAAATAAGAAGTAGTATTTAATTTGCTCTCAGCTTATACAGTAAAATTACATGGAAACATAACAGCCTTCTGCAGAAAGAATGCATTAAACCATTTCTCTCTGTGGGGAAAGGCAGTATCTCAATATGATTAACAACCCCAAATTTAATTCAACCAGTTGCTAATTCTACCCTAACTTAAATGCTTAAATGTTTGCTGCTTGACTGATAAATAATCAGCTTCTTTTGGAGTCTGCATTAGTACGTTTTACCAAATCCTTTAAAGTTATTCAATAGGGTTTTCTATAAATTCTTTGGCTACATACATCAAAGAAGTTAAATACATGTGAAATCTACCAACTACAAGTACCTTAAAAATAGTACACATTTACAGATTATACAGGGATCAGAGTGCAAATGTCAAGAGAGAATTGTTGTCAAGGACTAAGTTACTTACAACATCCCAAACAGAAGGCTGGGAAGAGGGAAAAAAAGAAGCGATTATTAAGATTTAGAAATCTCTTTGAAGGGCTTCTTGATCACCTAAAAATGCCTCAAACTGAACCACTGCTTCATGTATTAATGTTATCTCTTTTAATTATAACCTGCAGTATCTACGTCCTCTTTTTTTCTTTTGAAGAATATAGAAGTTCAGAAACTGCTCATATAAAGAACAGAAATACTGGTTGTATTCCCATATGGAATTATAACAACTTTAGGATTATTTTCTGTCTTCTGAAGATATTTTTGTAAGCAAGATATGAAAGCATATATCCATGTCAGTCCTCCAAAAGAGCTTTGGGTTATAGTGATTTTGTGAAAATGCTTAATTTTCTTCTTGCAGCATTTCTTCTATTTCTTTATCCCAGTTTTCATCACGCTTTTCTGATTCTGTCACCACCTCATACTCTTGAAGCTCTTGCTGTAATTCCTTTTCCCAATCAGCAGTTTCTTCTAAAAGAGACAAATTATGTGCAAGAATGAAATGGATTATATTGAATGTTACTTATTTATATAAAACTAGATGAATTTGCACTGAATCTCTCTCACATCCCCTAAACTTGACGGACTATTCTCTTTAGAATCAAAAGGAACTTCAGAAATTTCACCTTCTTACTGATTACAAGTAAGAATTAATATACAAGGCTATATTCCTATATGCATACTATAATAAAACATAAAGAGCAAATACACAGCTGAGTCATTATGAGTGTCACGTTGCAAGATAGTTTTCTACAATCTTTCACTCTACTATCAACTGAATCTCCCTTTGCAATTCTAAATCTTCATTAAAAAAAATGAAGTTTGTAAAAGTGTGGATATATGGTTATGGAAAAAAGAAATCAAGATCAAATACTGAAGCTAGTTTAAAACAAAGAAGGAAGTACTCTCCTCACTGACTTTTGTAGTTAGGCAAGCTCACTTAATCAGGGTTAAAGGTAATAATATTTCATACTTCAGGGCAAAAAATGAGTCAGAAGGCTTTCTTGTGTTGTTAATCTCTGTTTTAATTAGCTCTACCTATCATAGGCAAGAGTGTGGGGGAGGAGATGGGCGTTTGATGTGTTACACGTTGGTTGGTTGCTCAGCCTAGATAGGAAGGTACGCAATTCCAGAGTCCAACTCAGTCCGGCCAGCTGAGATTTCTCTGAACAAGTAACACATTAATGACCTACTGAAACACTTTCATCATAGAACTAGATGCAAGAAATTGATACTACTCATTACAATTCCTGAAGCTTGGCTTTGTATTGGACAGAAAAAAAATAAATCAGAAAACAATGATTCAAAATCCAAAGCACATTCTAAGAAAATTTTGCAAATTTTTATGGTAAGCATCTACATATTCAAGTGTTGTCATAGTAAATGATGTATGGCTCAGAGTCACATCATCACAGACTGTTTTTATGCTCTTTACACTGATACTAGCTCTTCTGAATTATTTAATTAATATCCACTTAATTTCTTATCATCAGTCTCAGAACTATTTGTTAAATTTTAACTGTTCCAAATGCCTGTAAACCTTTATAGGCAGAGGCCTCTTCAAGCTCATAGTCTGGTACAAATGTTGCCTTTTTAGCTGGTGCCAAAAGAAGAAAACAGAGCCTGACTTTCAAATACTATACTTTACCTACAAGGATGTAAATCAAAGGAAACAATTAATATGCAGAAGAACCTATGAAAGAGAAAGGAGATAAAAAGAAAAAAATACCCCACACTCACTTTCATAAAAGACCTAAAACTCTTAGGTTCTTCAGATTTAAACTACTCACAGTTAACATTCTGTATAAGATGTGGATTGACCATGGAGAAAATTATCATTAATTTCTGCAATATCTCATTGAAGTTTGTTTCATACACTTTGGAAAAAATGGTCACAGATCTACTTTTCTAAATAGAATTTCAATTTTTTTTTTTTCTTTTAAATAAACCTGTCTTAGAACTGCTCTGTGTAAGAAACAGGTAATAGGTAATAGTAGTTTTACCTTCTACTACTGAAGTCTCTTCTTTCTTTTTGTCTAGCACTAGTTGTTCCATTTCTTTTCTTAGATCTTCCTGATTCAGATTACAGGTATCAAAAGCATCACTCACAAATTCTGATACACCTGGACTTGTGGAAATCTCTTCCTCATCCTGCAACAAGACACTTTAGTATAAACTTATCCAGACAGGGTAAAACAAGCCACCAATACATACTTCCGCTCATGTGACTGCTTTTAATAGAGTTGACAAAACCCAGACACATTACTCTCACAACATTTTTCTTTATTGGCTACTTTTCCTTAAGAGTATTTTTGTACAAACAAAATTGTTACATAGCTATACTGAAAATTATCTGCTTTACATTCTAGGCTGTCTTTTTGTGCTCTCTTAACAACTTTAATTCTTAGTTTGTAATCTTCAGAAACAATAACAAACTCCTGTGTAGTTTAGAACAGGACCTAAATATTAAAAATTTGACCACAATTCAGTAATAGTTTTCTACACCAAAGTAAGATTAAGAGAGGACTATTCTTTGCAAATTTTTGCCTGCTGCATATTATTGGCAAGTGAATGCACAGCTCTGCTTCTGCCAAGAGTGTTCTCTGGCACCAATTTTACAATCCAGAAATGAACTTGGGTCATTATGTGTCTAAAGTAAAGGTTTTTGCAGTACCAAACAAAAGTGAAATAAAACAAGTGTTGCTATTGCAATACATCATTTAGATTTTCTATACTTCAGCCTGACCACAGCTTGAAGAGGTGGACAGAACATGGCACACAAATATATTTTTATGAAGGTACTGCTAGTGTCTCAATGCAATGCTAACCTTCTACTCCAAACATTTTGGAAATTTCACTCTTGACAGTAAAATCACATCATAATGTGCAGGATACTAAGGAAAACATTCTTCACATAAACTTCTGTTTCTGCTACTGAAAATGAGTTTCAAGATTATATGCTAAAAATTAATATCACAGCAAAACAGCAGCAGGTTAGGACTGTCAGATACTATATTATTATGGTTTCGTAGCAGAACTTACTCAAAAGGATGCATAATTACCTATTAAGGAACAGCTCCACATACTAAATCCCACATAAAATATAACAGCATTTTTACCTCTTGTGACTTTATTTGAGGCTTTATTGTAACAGGTGGTGTTTTTGGCCGTACTGTTTCTATCAACGGAAAAAAAAAGGTAGATAACATTTAAATATATATTTAAATATAATTAAATATAATTAAAAATAATAATAATTAAAAATATAATTTGCACAGCTATTAAATATACAAGTAAATATTGTATTTTAAGGAATCTTTGTGGCCAAAGGTTGAATTTAGCCACAGGTGAACCATTTTCAAAAACAAATAGAAACGATTTTCTATTGTTAATTAAGACAAACTTAGCAAGCCATTTCCTCTTTATGGCTCCAAACTTAATAGACAGGACCCCTCTGACCCTCAAAATGACATCCCAAGATCTTTACAGCTACAAATGTATACACTTAGTCTGCAGTCCGGTCACTGTCTATTACAGAAGTTCTCATACTCCCCTGGCTGGGTACTACTGCTGGCATGGGTGCCAGTCAGCCCTTGAGCAGACCAGACTGCACACGTACTATGCACACCCCCAAGGGCACATGAGAACAGTGTTCTGCAGCCTTGCCCTTCACACAGGCAATGGGAGTCACTGAGAAATAAACCCTAGGAGCTGGTGTCAATTTCCTAAGAAAACTCGCTGTGCATTCTCTATTTAGTGCTAGGAAGACAACAATTGTTTACAAGGAAGGTTAGATCTTTTCCCTTGCAGGTAAAGGAACATCCCAGCTTTCTTCCTCATGCAACATCCAAGGAGTTACAGTGAAGAGCCAGGTGGCTGCAAGAACAACATACAGGGGCTGTGGTAGTGGTGGAGTGCTTGCTTAGCAGTTCTTTTTGCTTAAACATGCAAAGCAGCTCTGAGCTTGCAGCTCTTCTTCCTACAGGTCGCCAGGTGGATTCTTCCTGCTAACTCAGCAATTTCTGATTTTTTTTGTGTTTAATTTTTTAAATTAAGGTCAGTTTTAATTAAAATCATTCCCTAATTGGTAGCTGTCACTGCTTTTATAGCTCATCTACCCAATGCCCACTGCTCTGTCCCATCTTCCCTCTTCCTTCCACTTTCCTATGCCCAGAGGATCTCTCACTGCACCCAACACTGCAGCCAAAGAGGCTCCAGCATTCCCTGCTTGGGGAAGCTGCAGGATGTGGCAGTAACTGCTGTGCAAGAGAGGTGCCTCAGGCCCCACCTGTTGCTCTCGTGCACATGAGACACAGCTGCTCTGTGCTGGGCCATGCCCCAGTCAGGTGTGACTGACCTACCATTAGCATCATTCTGGACCTACTGACCTGGCATCTCTCCCACTCCTCCTGCATTGTGCTCTCATCCCAAGGTGACTTAGTTCCTGACTACAGAGCTACTAATGCCTAGAGAAGAGCTAGAACTTGGCATTTTGTTATAAATCTTACATAGCCTTTACACTAGAATGTGGAATGTCTTCCATTTGTCTTTTCTCTTTTCCATCAACCACTCTCATTTAACTTAATGAAAAGAGCAGCTAAGGAGGAGACAGAGAAATGGAAGGCTAACAATTCTATTTTACAGACACAGTTTTAAGAAGAAACCCTGAACATTATGAATGACTACTAACAGGCAATTACTTCCAGTTTTAGCCTCCAATTAGGGAATCCAACTTTCAAAAAGGTTACTTAAACCAAAAATAACATATATAATTCAGAGCTTCCCAAATCTACCCAATTTATGAGTCAAACAAAACATGCATTTACTACAGTCTGGTACATGTTTCTTTGCCATTACAGAACATGCAGTCAGTAAATCTATCTGCATATCCCACACTGGTGTTTTGAACTGCAGAAGAGCTGCAATAGGGCAAAAGACAGTGGACTTTTTTTGAAAATGAAGTTATGTTTTGCTTTAGTCACAATGGGAATTTTACTAGAATCCAGCAACTTTCACTTTAACTGAATGGTACTTTCCAAGGGCTTGGATGACTCAAACATAACATTTTTGTTGTTCAACAGGATCAGATGCCATCTCTCCTGCAAAGTTGAGACACTTCAGTTAGAAGAACCATAGTTTTGGGACAGTGAAGAACTGAGTAAAAGTTGTGGGAATTGGTGCCTCTTGGTGTACAGTATATTCTGGAGTAGCCTGTCCTGTCAGCATTGCTTGTATGGCAATGCTGACACGACAGGCTACTACAGAATCTACTCAGAGAAAAATACGTCTTCCACGTAGATGGGGACCTTGCCTAGGCTGACACAGGCACACTCCAAACAAAATCTATGAGAAGCATGACACAAACTGACAAAGGCACATATGCAACATGGAAGCCCAGCTTTGTAATTCTATCTGTAGCCTCCCCTTCACCCCAAAGTTCAGCTGCCCATCCAAGGAGCAAAAGCCCAGCTGAGTAATCTTAGCTCAGACTGTGTAGAAGATTACTAAACTGTGCAAAAGACCTGTGAAAAAGTCTGTAAAAAGAATAAGAAAGGTGTCTCAAGAGGAAAAATACCTATATGGAAAGATATTATATTCAAAAAGGAGGAAAAATAAGTTAACTTGGCAGTGATCAGCTGACTGTCAGTCAGGACAGCAGTGTCAACAGGACATAAGTATTAGTGGATTTCATGGATGGCAATTAATTGATATTGGGAATATAAGAACCATTCCAAGGTACAGCAAAGGCTTTTTCCTTCTGCTCAGCGCCTACCCAGCCTGCCAAGATCCTTCAGGTGTCTTACCAGAGGTGGTGAGTGCACCTAGGTTAAGCTAAGAGTTAATGAGCAATGGGTATCTTTTGTGTTTATGCCAGTAACTAACTGCTTTATACTCTTTAAGCCTCAGATATTTCTACTTGCAGAATCTGTTAAGGTGTAAAGAGGTTCAGTGGTTCGTAACAGGGTCAGGTCAGTAAGAACCACTTGTAGAAACTAATCAATGTAACTGAAGACACATTTGTTGAAGCAGCTTTTTCATCTCAAGACTGAATCCCAGGTAACCACATGATCCCCATTTTTTCTGTTTCCACAATACATTACGGGCATATCCACACCCTGCACTCCTCCACAGTAGTTCTAACCCCGTACCACTCACTAACTTCTGTTTGGTGTGAACGATGAGAAGAAGACAAGAGCAAACCATATTCCAGCTGTTGTCTGAGCAAGTGAACCAAGGGAATCTCCTCCTTCTGTCTGAAAAGTAAAAAATCACACCTACAACTGCTAATGGTCATGAGCTGTCATAAGCCAAGTACAACATTTCTCCTCTTGAGATTTCCCCTCTTCTGACAAAGTTGGCTGAAACTGGAAAACAGCTTAATAGCAGGAGCCTCCTCCTCCCTGATCTACACAAAGACACCAAGTATGATGAGAGAAGCCCTGATTTAATAGGCAATCCAGGATAAAAAAGTGATGGCATCTGATTTATACAGTAAGCATTTGTTGATGCCTAAAGATTTTTAGCTTTTTAAATATATTTGTAGCTTTGTACATTTTTAATATATAGGTGTATATTTTCTAGCACTTTCTCACACTTTAGAACAGTAGTTACCCTTTCTCACATATTATGACACATTCTTAAAATTCTGTTTGGTCTTACTTTCAAGAAAGTGTTTCTAACAAGGACATCCTGTTTTGCATTAGCACCTGGGCTGAAATAATAGATACTTTGTAGATATAACAAGTTATAGGGATAAGAATCCCTGGAGGGGCTCTAATGGGCAGATCCAAGGGTGGGTTGCTAGGGCAACTGCTCTCCTATTGAATGTACTTGCTAGACATGGTAATTAATTAAACTTTAAAAAATGGTGAAAATTTGATGCTGCATATGCATATAGGTATTATATGTGCAACTGAAAGCTTTCATTAAAAGATTGCTCTATATGTTATCAATTTTAATATTGTTTGGAAAGTTTTTCTTCTGATTTTAGACAACGGCATGACACCAAGTTAGTGAACTGGGTTAAAACAAATGTTTCCCATACCTTTCAGTTCACCATCCTCTTCTCTGCTTTTGCTCTCTTCCTTTCCTGCTGCTTGCTGTTGAGCTGCAAGCGCGGTGAGTTGTGCAGACTGTTTAATTAGGGACACCCTGTAGAAGTAATTTCTCCAGAACACTTCCTCCTTTACACTAGAGAGAACAAACAAATTTTGATTACTGCATTTAGAATATGGTTCCTTTAGCCATCTAGCAGTGAAATAAAATTAAATATGCAGAGAGGAGTAGACATAGCTGATATTTAAGTAAAAACTTAAAAAAGAAATTTGTGACATTAACACATACTAAAAAGTCCATCATTTTAAAAGTTCCTGATCTTTCACAAGACATTTGCAATTGACTTGAACCTACAATAGTAATGTTATAACTCTAGAAAAAGCATGCAGCAACACACGGTAAGGAAAAATATGATGTTCTTCCATCTCTCCTGACAAACTATGTAAACAAACCCAACAAGACAAACAACCCTGTTCTCTTCCCCTCTAAGCCAAACACTCTATCACTGTCAAACTATAATTGTCTACATCTTCCCTAGACATCAGGTGGAACTGGAACAGCTGTGTTGGCAGAAGCCATTCCTAGATTGCAGCAGTACTATTTCACTATCTGTACATCTTTCAGCATGTCCACAGAACCTTTAGTAACCAGAAACTGCCATCTTGGAAATGACCAGCTCCAACAAGTGGGAGACTACCCCCTGCCTCAGGTAACATTTCCCTCTGAAATTCCTCTAGCAAGAAAGAAGAGAACCAACTTTAAACCACAGGCAACAGACCGCAGAAATGGCAAGATCTGTGGGGAGGAACTTGTGTAGGTTAAGAAAGAATGAAATTACCTTCACACCTCTTCATGCAAACAGTGACCACTGAGACTAAGAACAGGCAACAAACATATTAAGCAATGTGGCAGGAAAGGCAAGAACAGCATGGCCAGAGGCTCAAGACAGAGCATCAGAGAATATGGGCTGATCTTCAGAACTGAACAGAGAAGAAGGTAAACAGAATGAGGAGCTGGGTAGGTTCATAAAAGGAGGAGATTTAAGACAGAAGATGTCACAAGGAAAGATTTTCTTTCCATTTTCATCCTTAGACAAGGAGACTAATGTTGGGAACTCCCACTAAAATAGAAAGTTGAGGTGTGAAACAAGCATTAGGAACAGAGTCTGGGACTGGACAGGGAATAACAGCTTCAGAATAAAGCTCTGCAACACAGAGCTTTTGCCATTTCCTATCCAAATCCAGTTTTTCTTGCTTGCATTGCTGCTTTTTTGTGACACATTCTATTACCATTTCTCCAGAGGCAGTCTCTGACTATCTGTAATCACCTTTTTGGGATGTCAGTTACACCTACAGATATGAACACTTTTATTGTTGCCTTTACCTTTCTTTGGAGAAAAAAAAATAATTTAATTTAGCACACTGAACATGGAAATACTGAGAGTCTCCCCCATACATTAATCATTATTATCACAGGTCATTATTAGTTCTGTCTCACAGATATACTCCTTACCTCAAGCTGCTAAACTGCAATGCACGTGGCAATACTCTATGTGTTAGACACTAGCACATAAAAATATATGTAGACAATGAAAAAACATAAAGAATCAAAGGAAATTAAAAGAACAAGGAGTAATTTATGGGTATTTACAGACACATTAAAAGCATGATGATACAGTTACCAGCAGAAATTACTTACTGTTTGGGAACAAGGTCAAACCTCATCCTATTAAGAAGCTCATCTTCCTGTAACATCACCAGTGCAACAGGGTACATTTGATCAAAGTCAAAATTAAACTGCACACCTGCTGGAGGATCCCGCAGAAAATTCCGTTTATCCTTTGAAGAACATATTTATGGCCATTAAATTATATCAGAAAAAGGACACCATATTTCACACACAAGAGCAGCAAAGCAATCTATGAAGTCTTTATAAAAAATAAAAACTGTACTGAGGATCTGCTTCGGTTCAAATTGAAACTGATAGAACTATTTACTCTTGCACATGATTTGTGTGGTGACAGACATATTAAAAGTATCTTGAAAACACGTAATTAAAAAAAAAGGACTTAAAAAACCCCCCAGTAGTTTTAATTTCTCCAAGAGAAAATTTCAAACCTTACAGGAAGTGAAATACTCACTGCTGATAAGGCCAGTATTTGTTGTTGAATTGTCTCTTCTTCATTGCTGTCTACCCAGGGAGGCACTGCTGCTTCTAGTATTGAAAAGAGGAAAATAACTGCATTTATATTACTTAGAAAAACCCCACTCCAAATAACAGACCTTACCATAATGTAACTGACACAAAGTGTTACAAAAGTAAGCCAGTAGGCCAAGTCATTGCGTCTTTTTCCTAAACTAAGTCCATGGTGTAACAGAGAAGCCCTAGGAATGGATCTTCGCTTATCTGAGGTAAAAAAGTATTAATCAAATAGTTGCTGATCACTGTTATTGTAAAAATAAAATTGTGGGGATTTCTTTGCAGCATGCAACAGTCAGAATTTGGTGCCTCTTAGTTTTGCCACTGAAGTAGTGCTGTGTAACTAATTAAGTTGCCTGCAAATGGTATTTCCAGATCCACTTTAAATGTGTAAACTTTGTCTAAATTAAGCTTGAGAAGTAACTTACACCTAGAAGACACCAATTCTTTAACAATGGAGAAAAATGTTATAAATTGGTTATGAATTACAACATGTTACACACCAAGTAAGCCTACTCCAGTTCAGCTGGTTTGTATTGTTATGCAGATACTTTCAAAATAGTTCTTTGGGCTGTACAGAGAGGAAAATAAACTATTATAGATGTATAGATATTTATCAATCTCTTCACTATCAATGCAAATTCAGCCTACGGAGACAACATGATGCACCTGTAGCAGATAAATAATTCTTGTGCCCTTAAACTAGTAACACTTATTTGCCTGTGCAACTGGTATCAGCAAGATCTTTCACCCAGATGGATCCACATCAGATGCTGATATTTCTTTCAGTCAGGCCATCTGTTATCCCCCTTTGGCCAATCCAGCTATCTAGTTTCATGGAGCTTTTAAAAATACATTAAGAGAATCCCAAGTTTACTAATAGACAAAAAGACAGAAATATAGGCAACACAATCCCATAAGCAATCTTCCAAGAAGAAACCAGATGCACATACTAACTACAAGCACCATGAAATTTTTTATCATTATCCATTTAAAACTGGTTCATTTTAAAGATAAACAGAGTCACTACTTACTCAAACTGTCAAAAATTATTGCATTCAGGTAACACGTTAAATAAGATAAAAGATGAAACAATGTGAGAAAACAACTTTGCTAGCATGGTGATCTTTGAGTTTATTTCACAAAGCAGAATTTGGTTAAAAAGCAAATCTAAACCAACTACATAACTTAACAGTAACCTCACTTAAAAATATAATCTTCCTATATCACCATATGCATTAAGTTCTGTCATAATGTATTTCATTAAATAGTGTTTTGATAGATCAGTTTTAGACATAGCTCAATTATCCAGCTTTCAGCAAGGTTTCACTTATGTTATGATAGACATCATCAAAAAAAGCATATATTACCTGATTTTTTGTTTTGCTGCTCTTGGACAAATTTCTTCTGTTCCTTCTGAAAGTCTCCAATAATTGTCTAAAATAAAAATTAGGGAACCACAATTAAAAAAAAGAAATTAAAATTCACTCTTCCTGTTTTATGTTCAGTCAGAATGTGCTTTCAAATACAGTGCATATTCTTATATCCATAGTGGCCCTTCCTGTAAGTTAAAGGTGTTTCATGTCAATCATACACTTCCTTTTATTGAAACATTTGTTTTTGCATTTAAAACTATTGTGTATGCTTTCAAAATTATATTTATAGTTTTATTAAGTTCGGGGACAAGGAAAAAAAGATGGAAAATCTTAGCTGATAATTTGAACACTGGCATTCAATGCATATCCACTTAGTGTCTCACTGTATCAAATACAGACCATGCAGACTGTTTAGACTTATTTAAACATGTTTTTAAAGCACTAACACTTAGCCTTAAAGAAGCTTCAAGAGTTGCCTAAGAAATACATCCATTGAAAAAACAGGACTTTCAAAATTGTAAAGTTGGATTTCAGAACACCTGCTTTGCTGAAAGAAAATAACTTTTCCATTTATGTTGACAAATTTTCATTAAAAAAATCGTATTTAGAAATATTCTATATTGAATTCAGAATTTAAAAAATGGAGAATGGTCTCATAATTTGGAATGCCATAATCTAGAAGTAAGAATGCAAGTGTTCTGTGGTTGAAAGCAGAGGCAAAAAAGATGAAGTTAGAAATGAATACTTAAACCACTCACAAAATACAACTTTTATGCAGTGAGGTCTATGGATTAACAAGTTGCCAAAATGCACAGAAGTCTTCAAGCTAAATCTTGATAAATTGTGCTATACTTTGTTTTCCTTCAGTGATCCAGTATTCCAGTTTACTATCACTATCAGTGAGAGAACTACAGTAGTGTCAGTTATGCAAACAGATTATTGTGGTTCCTTCTGGTTTAAAGTTCTATTATTTTTTCTACTTATGGAATAAAAAAAATTATATGGTATAAGAAGAAAGCCTTATGATGATACAGGTATAATTCTCCTCTATGTAATACTGATTAATCAAAACAGAGAATTCATATTACTCTAAGACATTTACAGAAAAAAGAAAACGGTATTTGAGGCATAAAATATACTTACAAAATATGGTATTTAGCTACAGTTTCTTAGGGGCATTATTATTAGTGTATTAAATTTAAAAATAACCTTGTTACTTGACTTTTCCTTTCTGATGTAGATCAAAATTACATTAGACTCTGATATTACTGTAGAAGGAAATAGATCTCTGCTATTATTATACAGCCAACTGTCAATGAAATCTGAAGACAAAATGTAAAATGTGATCATAATAGAAATTAATTTGATGTAATTTGATGATTCATTTGGAAGATAACACAAACACTAATTATATCAAGAAGTAGACTTCTATTGCATTAAAAAAATAAACAGGCAATGCTGTAGTTCCGTGGGAGGGCTGTCTGAGAGGCAGGAGCTGGAAAAGGGGTTTGCCTGTGTCAGACACTCCTGGATGCAGAGTCCTACTACAGTTGGGATGGTTTTGACCAGCTCCCTTTCCCTTCCCTTCCAAGATACTCCCAATAACAAACACAGAACACTTAATGGTACGTATTGCTGCCTTTTTCTTTTTTTCTTTTCCATCTGTAAAGTTTGTGGCTTACAGCACTGGAAGAACACTTGTTGGCACAAGTTAAGCAACTGGAGCTGACAGGAAGAGAGGACAAGAGCAGCATGTCAGGGTCAGGGTGGGGAAAAAGCCAGGACAATAACAAGGTACTGTTTCATTAGCTCACTGGTTTTTATGAAAATGTACCTGTATACCCCTAGGGTCCTAGGATGCAATATGTACAGTGCCAAGCTAATTCTGACCTTTGCACAGAGGTGCCTTTCTTTAAGCAAGCTACCTCATTAATTTTTCCAACTAAATAAGCTGTGGGGCAAAAAAGAAACCAGTCCACACATCTTGGGACAGACATTCCCCAGCTGCCTTTCTCAAATTTTTCCAGCCCTTCCACCTACATCAGCATTTTTCATATTTTCTTCTGATCTTTCTCCAGCATATCAACATCCTGAGGGAACTGAAGAAACACAGGTGCAGCACTGATAAAAACAGGGTGACCATTGTTTTGGCAACTCTACCATGAATAAACATTTCAGTCATATCATTCATCATGACAAGAGATGCACAGTATCTCCTGAAAGACAATATCTAAAGATAGCATACAGAAAGAAATGTTACCAAATGCCAGATTTGCCACATGTTGTAACAACAGTAAGGAACAGATCTTCCAGATCAACTGTCTAGAAACAAATTACCTTATCGATGATACTGTCAATTTTTCCTTCTTCTACAGACTTCTTTATAGTCTGTGCTGTTTCAGCAACAGACTCAGATATCTTTTTTGTAGCAGCAGAGGCAAAATTGAAGAGGTAACCTTTCATAGACAAAAAAAGAAAGACCTGAGAATAGATTTCTTTACGTTCAGTTCTCTTTCTACATTTATTTTTCCTTCTCTTTAGACATTTGGATACCTACTTAAAAGTTTTTTTCAAAATAACTTAACCTGGCTTCTGGCCTACAAAAAACCCCTAAAATTCTATTTATCCTTTTCTAGTTTATATTCTTTAATGATGATCACAATTTTCTGTAAATCAAATATTTATACATGAACCTTGTTTACTAAATCAAACATTGGTAATGATCCTCTAAATACTCCTTTCCAATGAATCTTCTGAAGCAATGTGTCTTTCCTAATTTTATGTAAGTATTTTGGATACATTAAGCCATAAAGTAACTTAGTCACAGTATTAACACAGAATTACATTTTTTAAGAAAATCAACATGCACAATAAAGTTTTATAAACCGAGGCAGAAAATCCATGAAATATTTCAGGCATGTAACACCTCCTTCAAAAGTCTTAGCACAGAAGCTTGCTCTTGATGTTTGTCCTTATCTATCTTGCACTGTCTTCCTCTCTAGCTCCATGAAAAGCACTCGTTTTTCAGAGCCATATTTTCTGACAATATTCAGTGTCAGAACAGCAATGAAAAATATTCTCAAAGACTCACATTCTTTGTATTAGTAGTGCTGAAGTGAAGAGAGGTGGCAGAGAAAGAACTACACACACAAAGTATGGCCATCTGCACTGTATTATTCTATTTTAATTAAGGAGAACAAACTTGCAAGCTTATAGACAAGTGATTTTAAAACACTGGTACTATTTCTCAGATGGCATGATGTCACAGGCGCTTAATTGTATCTCAATAGTTGCATTATGACTATGGTATCTCAGTTCCAGTACATACATTGTGTCAGTGCCATAGTAAATAAAATAAATGCAGAGGGATCTAGATAGATTGGAACATTTAGGCAAACATCAATGGCATGAAATTTAACAAGAATAAATACTCGATTCTGCACATGGGATGAATATAAATTGGCAGAGGAGTGTCTGGAGAGCAGCCCTGCAAAATGGGGGTGCTGCTTGGTAGTCAGCTCAATAGGAGTCACATATTTCAGTTATTTCAGAAAATCACCTCTGACTTCTGTAAAGGGGGTTGTCAAAAAAACCAACCAACCAACCAACCAACCAACCACCCCAAAACCAAACAAATAAACAAAACTCCACCAAAACCCAGCACTTCTGTTTCAAACAAAAGACCACTTTCCTTCTCAAGAACTCTCAAAAAATCCTGTTTCCCTATGGGTTAGAAATGTAAAAACTTATCTTATAATGAAAAAAATAAAATAATAAAAAAAAGTTCCTTTAACACATGGTTGTTAGCAACTGGTAAAATTAGTTACTTTGGAACACTGATATCACCTTTTGGAAAGCTGACTACATTCTGTGCTGGATAAAATGTTCTCTTGTTATGATATCACCAAATCAATACCAAAATATGCAGAGGTCTAGCCAAGCCTTAAGACAATTTTTTATATGTAACTTTCGCTTACAAGTCACAGAATGGTGGTAACCAAACATCATCCTTCAAGTAGTTACTAGCACCTTTTATATCTGTTATCAGGCTTTATAACCCATCACATGATTCAGGTATAAGAAAAAGGTTAAGTTCCATGTTTTAGATATAGACACATAAATTATTCCCCTTATGAGAGAGTAGAGGAAGCAGCAACCTACTGGACAGCTCACTCCTCACCAGCTTTTATTGACTGTTTCATGTATCCCTGGAAACTCTCACATATGCAATTGTTTTAGGTGCAAAAGTGCAGAGATATTTGCTGTCTGGAGTGACATTCTGGCATTATTGCACAAAGTGGTTTTGGCCAGTCCTGGAACCATGGTGAAGAGCAAAATGCTTTTTATTTCCAATTAGGGCAAATACTGTTTTGAACTAAGGTACTTCTAAAACTGCAGAAAGGGTGGTATTTAGCCTTAGAAAAATAGGATTAGTGGTGGAAAATAACACTTTCAAATGACTAAGAAATTCGTCTTCCATCTTACAAGTCCATACCTGTATTAAAAACATGTATCTAGCAATATTTCTATTATTAGTTCACTTTGGTGAAACGCTCATAATTTCTGTAACGGCATGATAATGAACAAAAAAATAATGTCTATAGGGCTTGTTTTACCAGTAAAATTCTTTATGTGCCAGGGGAATCTTTTTACACAGCTATCCAAGTTGCTGGCCATGCAGAGGTTTCTAGGATTATGTGTTAAAACAAGAAAGGGTGTAAAAATGTGTAACAACAAGAAAACAAGCAAGGAAGCCTCTCCACCACAATCTACTCTGGTGTAACATACAATGGACCCACTTACCACTAAACCAAATTTTCACTTACAGAGCAAGTTATGGGACAGATCTTTATATTAATAATAATCAATACTTATTCTTTCCCTGCAACTCAGAGTCCTTATGCCTTCCTGAACAATCAGAGCAATTTGCAGATTAGAACAATCAGAGCAATCAGTAGATTAGAACCAATTTACCACAACTAGACAGATATTTGACCGAAGTACACAGACCAAACTGCTGCAGTTCAGTTGCCCAAGAAGACGCACAGTAAAGAACCAGCTCAGATTAATCTCAGATGATCAGATCTCAGATAATACTGATCCAGAATTTCAGAGCATCAGTTTTAAAAAAACCCAAACCTCTTTTTAAAAAAAGCTTTAGTAATGAGTATAGGTCTGTACTATGGATTAATTTTATCCAAAAATTCACTACAGTAAAGTAGGAATTTTATTTATAGCAAATTACAGCTTTGTCTCATTCCTGGCAGCGTTCAAGGCCAGGCTGGATGTGGCTTTAAGCCTGGTCTAGCAAAAAGTGCCCCTGCGCACGGCACGGGCGTCGGAATGAGATTATCTTCAAGGTCCTTTCCAACCCAAACCATTCTGTGATTCTAAGAATGCAAACATGTTCAACAAAATCATCAAATCCCATTATTTTCCTATGAAAAAAATCACAAACGCCCACAGCATTCCACGAAGTAGATTATTCTACGCAGACAGATCTGTTCTCTCCACAGAGACTTCCTCCCCTAGTGCCAACAGAACAGATACTTAAGAAACGTTGCTCCTTTAAAAACAGCTCCGAAAGATGCGATAAGCGAAAGGCACATTTGCACCCTCAGCTCATATTTGAAAGCCGGCAGCCCCGGGACACTCACTGCCGAACCCCTTGGCCCGGCTGAGCAGCGCCTCCGAGTCCCCCTGCAGCTCGCCCTGCTCCTGTCCGGCCGACCCTGCCTCCTCCTCCTCCTCCTGGTCCTGCTCCCGCTCCGCGGGGCCGCTGCTCTTGCCGGCGGGCAGCAGCTGCTCCTCACCCGCCCGCTCCAGCCCCAGCCAGCTGCCCAGGCCGCGCAACATGGCTCAGGGGCGGCGGCCGCGCTGGGGCCGCGCCGGCGCCGCTGCGGAAACCGGGGCGCCGTGCGCGCGGCTTCCGCGTGCGCCACTTCCGCCGCCAGCGCCGCGGGAAGGGCGGGCCCGGGCGGAGCGGGCGCGCGGCGGCACCTGTGGGGGTGTCCCCAGCGGGGGGGTGTCCCCAGCGAGGTGGGGTGTCCCCAGCGGGGGAGTGTCCCCAGCGAGGTGGGGTGTCCCCAGCGGGGGCGGCCCCGGTCCCCGCTGCCTGCTGCCGGCGCTGCGCTCGGAGGCGCGTTACCTGCAGGGGCTGTGCCCCCCCGGGCAGGCGCCGCCCCCGCCCCGCCGGCGGAGCCTTGGGCTCGGTTCTCCCGCGGCTGGCTCTCCTCGTCTGCGCTGCCGGGCTCTGGTCGGAGCAGCCGCCTTTCACAGCTCCGTAAGTCAGAGGCCTCTCCCTGCAGCGCCCCGAGCGCTCCCGCGGTGCGGCGCGTTTGGGGTGCAGCACCCACAAATCTGTGCTGGAGGTGGCAGCTCCTGTAGATAAGGCTGGACAAAGTGTTCCGTGTGCCATGTCCCAGCAAAATGATTTCTTCCAGTATTCGCTTTCAGCTCTCCCTCCCCTAACTCTTATTTCCTTCATCTTTTACGAGTGAATTTCCAGACCACCTGCAGCTCTCTACCTATTTCAAATAAATGCGTTTCCTGAAGCTGCTGGCATATCGCTGTTTTTTGCTGAAGTCACAGCAAAGTTTTAATTTTGGTTTCTGTAAGCAAGATTTACGAGTTCTAAAGTGGCGTGTACTCAAGATGTATACCGTTGTTGAAATTATCCCCCCTGTTTTCCTGAAAAGAGCTTTGGAAATGGCTTAGATGTTTATGATGTCAATGTTGACAACTAAGTTGGCTGAGCTCTGAAGGAATAGTCTAAACAGAGATAGGGTCCAAGTCTTAAAATCTTTTCTATTAAAAAAAATCATATATGAAAATTAAATAACAGGGAAAAGTTTATCCCTGATGTTCCTTTTTCTCCTGACTTAAATACATTTAATGGTTATGGTTGTCCTTTTGATCATATTGATAAGCAAATAGTTTATTAATTCCTAATAACAGAAATGTGAGAGTGTTCCTAACAAACACTGTTACATTTCAGAACTCAGTCTCCTGAAGATCCACGCCTTATTTATATTACTTCAGTATAATAAAAAGAGTTAAAATGTTCATTGACTATCTGCTGCTTCATACCAACAGCTGAAGAACCATGCTGCTTTATACTGAGGGCCATTAGATGATGTGCTGTTGCATGTTGTTTTGGGTGAATTGGGTATTGAAGTAAGGAAAGATTTTCTTGGCCCTAGAGTTCTTGCTCTATGATGAGCCATGCTGTCACTGTTCAGAAATTGTTCCATGATTAGCCTCCACAGCCACCTGAATGGAATGAGAATTTGTGTACAGATGAGGTACGTGTTATCTTGTCTCAGATGGGTGGAAAAATGCAGCTTGTAGCTGATGAACACTGGTACCTTTGTTTGCTAAAACATATAAATGGTAAAAAGTTTTTGTAGTTATTTTGTGGATTTGCCACCCATCACTCCTTTCTGTGTAGAACTGTAAATTAATACCTTGGCTCTGTGTGTTGATTAGCCTCATCAGGACCTGTTTAGGTGAACCTGTTTATATTACATACTGGTTTTTAACCTGGGAGAGGTGAATCCTGCTCCCAGATTCCAAAGTGGTCATTTTTATTGTGTGTTGCTGAATGTCATTTAAGTATAGATTCTTTGCAGATTGAGTCTCTGATCTTCCCAGACATGAATTTAACGTTCACCAGATGTACATCTCTCTTGGTTTAGATTTCCAGCTCAAGGTCTGTGCACGTGTGCTGATTTTCCAATGAAGTACATCCTAGTGACTGGTGGTGTCATCTCAGGCATTGGCAAAGGGATCATTGCAAGCAGCATTGGCACCATTCTGAAATCATGTGGTCTACGTGTCACTGCAATCAAAATTGATCCTTACATAAACATAGATGCTGGAACCTTTTCACCGTACGAACATGGTATGAAGATCAGTGCTGTTCCCTTTCCCATAAACATTTGTATTTACAATTATGTGTTCTGGTTTTATTTTTTATTATTTAAGAAACAGCAGTGAGTGCTTACAAGTGGTTTTATCATTACTTTGAAAGTCTGTTGCTTACTCTGTGTTCTCAAGGACACTGTGTGCTCTAAGTTAAGAAACAGAATCAAGTTTTTTTGAAGATACTGTTATGAGCAGATGCTTCCTTTCTCTAAAATACCACTTCACTGGGAAAATCCTAGCCTGGGTCAGTTAGTGCTCTCTTCAGTTCAACTTGATTAAAAACCCCTTTTAAATAGTGCTATAAAAGTTACTTGAAACTTAAGCCCTTAACAGTTACTTGAGAATGCTGTTCTGGGTATTAGTGCCTTCTAATATAAGTACCTTCATGAGAGTTAGCTTAAATTCTCATTTTAGTAAAAAAATTCTGGTCAAAAACATTAGTGAAGCTTAGAGAACCTGCTAATGCTATGATTTTAAAGTAGATGCATAATTTGATTGATTGGTTCTCTAAGCCACATTGGTTGTATTGACTGTTGCTGATGAGTTAGAAGACATTTTATTCATAATGTTTAATGTTCCTTCTACTGTGTGGCTTGTTACTTGTACATTTATTAAAAACTGGTTTTCCAAGTGCCTTCAGCCAGTAGACATTTCTAATTATTTTTATGTTTTTGGATTTTATTTGCTTACTTTTAATTCACACCAAGATTTTTGGAACTGAAGATAAATATGTGTATCTTCTTAACTGAAAAAACACTACTTTGCTTTTTAAGTAGAGGAAGAGCAGAGCACATCAGACTTCTCTTAAAATGAGTTTTTTTTTGCAGTAAAAAAATTTACTGCACTTTAATGAGCACATGTGCTGCTTCTTAAGCAGTTGGGGTGGGTCATACAACTGCTGTGATTGCTTGAGATTGTGAGGATATTTTCCTTCTCTGGACCAGGTACAGGGGAGGTGAAATATTATGGCATGGAATTCTTTTTTTCACTGAAAATTTTCTTACTGCTTGTGAAGAAACACTGGCTTGCTACATAGTACATGGAAGTTACATGAGCCAGAATGGCAAGCCTCCTTCATTAACATTTGGACAGAAATATGATTGATATGATTAATTCAGTGTTTTCCAGTAAACATTAGAGGCTTTTTAATAATACTTTTTGAATTCTTTTCTTTCAAGGCCTGCTTAAGAGAAATGTTGATTCCATTCGACTTCTTGGCAGAAATGATGATTTAGAGGATGATTTATGTATAAATATATGATGATTTAATACATTGTCTACATATAGAGGAATTATTAAGTGCCCACAGAATCAGGAATAATTCTTCCACTCTGTTTTACACATTGGAGTGATTTGTTAGGCAGTTCATGGAAGTGGAGTGCTGTACTTTGGTAGGATATATATACATTTCTGTAGTCCACTTCTTATTTTTTTCTGCATTAGTCACATAACTTGTTTTGCCATTGATTTACTGGGTCATGGCAGAATATTTACAGTTTTTCTGAAGAGCTTTCCAGCCTTACCTCAAGATCTAGAAAATTGAGTTCTGTCAGAAGTTGACTAGATTCAGAATTTAGAGACTCTTTAGAGGCCTAAGAAAAGTGTGAACCTGAAGGGTATTTTAAATGAATTTTTTAGGGTCAGAAGTAACCCTTGCTGTGGACATGGTGAACCAAATATACTGGATGAAACAACTGACTTGGAAACAATCATCATGTTTGAAGAAGCATTTTTGTTCATTATAACTTTACTCCTGATCCAAGCCTCAGTCATTAAAATAGATCCAAACAACAAGAATTTATAGTGAAACGCTTTGAGCATGTATAATAATTCATGCTTATAAAAGCATAGTTTTTTTCTCCTCCAATAAATGAATATTTAATTTGTTGCTGATTTATGATTCCTAGAGATTGTTTTCTTCCAATGAAGGATTATTCTGCTGTTGAAATGCTGGTTAAATATTTATGTTGCTTAAATATTTTGGCAATATAACTTATATTTTATTTGCAAAATTGTATGCGTCTGAGGGATGGACATTAGATGTAAAACTAATGACTTGGGTATTAAGTCATACAGAATGGCAATGCAGATTGAGTTCCCGTATGGACTTTATTGATATGTTGTTATATATACTTTAAATTATTTTTATTCTTTTTTAAGACATCTATGGTATTCCTGCTGTGTGTTTGATAATTCTGATTATTTTATTGTTTTTCTGTCTGTTTTTGCAGGTGAAGTTTTTGTATTGAATGATGGTGGAGAAGTTGACTTAGATTTGGGAAATTATGAGAGATTTTTGGACATCAATCTCTATAAAGATAACAATATCACCACTGGAAAGATATATCAGCATGTCATTAATAAAGAAAGACATGGTGATTATCTGGGAAAAACTGTTCAAGGTAATATTATTGATTTTGTGGGATACTAGTCCATTCAGTCTTCTCAAAAGAAGGGATCAGCTCGAATAGGCTGCTTCTTGCTCCACCACCTTACTCCTTTCTCCCTTCCAAAAGATATGGGCATATTCCTGTCTTCTGGGCTCAAGGAAAGGAGAACTAGAGAAAGAACCTAGTACTTTCTTGGCTTTCTGTTCACTTTACCCCTTTTGCATGCAAAAATTAGTAATATGGGCCTAAAGTAAGCTGTGCTTGCCGCCTTTGATTTTGTTTTACAGTTGTTCCACACATTACTGATGCAGTTCAGGAATGGGTAATGAATCAGGCAAAAGTTCCAGTGGATGATGACAAAAAGGAGCCACAAATCTGTGTAATTGAGGTATGTATGGAACCTTTTAGGTTGTATATCTACAGTGAGCATAATGAGCTCGTTTGCTTTCTCTTTCCTGCTTCCTGTAAAAAGGTCAGGCTGAAGTTTTATGGAGAGTAGAAATTCAAAGACACATTCTATATTCTTTGCTTTGTTCTGAAAGGGATAGGCATGGTCTTATCTCTACAGCTGTTGTTTACTTGAGTAAAT